GCATCAAAGAATAAAATTGGCTTTATGTGGGAAAGATCTACAATGGAAGCCAGTTTTGTGCTTAGGAGATTGATGAAGAATAGCAGAATGAAACTGCATATAATTTTTACTGATTGGAAAAATGTTTTATGATAGGGTGTCTAGGTATGGTCCACGAAGCAGTTAAAGTTTTCTGTCAAGAATTGTCTATTGTTGAGACTCAGGAGGTCAGTATCCAAACCAATTAATTTTTATATTGTTATCATTATTGCTTTTTCGTTGTTGTATCACGTTAATGCATAATAATTACCTCGGGATAAAGTTTCATACAAAAATCTTTTACAAGCAATGACCCCAAAAAAGAGGTCTTAAGCATCCAATATATGAGACGTTGCAAGAAGGTCCTCCTCACAAGCCTATATTTGTGTCAATTGTGGAGGTAGGAAGTGATACTTTCCGAGGAACTAAAGTGAAAACTAAAAAGCAGGCGGAGATAAATGTTACTGAATTGGCTTGCGTTGCTCTTACTAAGAGTAAGAAACTAATTATTTATTGGGTTTGAGTTTGTTCTAGTCTCTCAAAACAACTACTTAAATTATTCCTATTTTTCCTTATGTATATGAAAAAGGCTTTGTTTGATTACCCTTTCAGTACTTCACATGCTTTTTGGAAGTCAAACTTTATCTTGTTAAATTGAATGGAAATTGTTGGATCTACATGTTCTCATCATGGAAACCTAGGCAATGGTTTCTAATCTACATTTTAATACTATGATAGCAAAGATATAGACATACAGTTCACTATTATATATACACACACACACACACACACAAACACTTTGGAGCTGTGGGCCATCAGTAAACTAAATAAAAAAAGTCATGATCTCATTAAGTTGACTGTGATTCCCCTCAACCTATGAAAAGTAGGTCACAATGCTAAGCTTTTTATCCTCTTTGTAGCTTGAGGATGTAAAAGGTCGTTCTTGTCCATTGTTGTCATTTCTGAGAGCGAGGGTTGTAGGTGTAGTGTAGAAGCAGTCTTGTAGCCTTTAGTGACTTAGGAAAACGAAAGGCCAGTTTCAAGGATGGTTTGAACATTATAAAGGTAGATTTTGTGTCTGAAAAAGCTATGCAAAGATTTTAGTTCTTAGAACTTGATATTCTCTGGTTAACAGTTTTAAAGTAAGGGAACAGTTTTAAAGTGAGGGAATGTACATTTGGTGGTAAAGTTATTGCTATGGTTTGATGTGAATTATCTTGCCCATATTCATCCAAGATATGGGTATTTCTTCTCAAATAGACTACTTAGATTTCATTAATCTCAGAGGGAGTACTTAGACTACTTTGATATCTGGTGAAGTACATTTGCATTCTCATTTTATTAGTTATTTAGCTTTTTACCTCTCATTTTAGACAACTTATCAATAATTTTTGTTTGTCTTGATCTCCAGAAGGCGAGAGAAATGCTAAAAGACAAAAGACTTCATCTGAGGATACGAATGCTGATATGACAAGTTCATCGACTCACAAACATGCCGATCCCTAATGGTGCCACTATGATGTCCTATATTGATGATCAGGGTGGGATGAATCAGTAACTAAACGCATATACATTTGATGTTCTGTCTTGTCAAAAACTGTTATCTATGTTTTCTTCTAGGATTGTGTGTTTAAATTATTAGCCCCTGTTTGATGCCCATTACCTAAAAATGAAAATGGAGGGAATAGTATTTTTCAGAAAAATGAGTGGTTGAAAAAGAAGGAAAAGTTTTCGATTTACGTGTAATATTATTTTATGGAAGATTGTGTGGTTGAAAATAGGAGAGAGAAAAATGGAATGTAATGTAATTGAATTTAATGGGAATCAAACAGGGGCTAAGCTAGAATACAGACAATGTATGCTAATGTTGTTTTATTTATTCCTAGTTAACGTCTCTTCAAATGTGATTTTGCAGACAGCCATTTGCGTTGTCCTAATCCAATATGAATATTAGCTGGTTATAATCAAAAAATATGGTAAATGGTTACAATTTATGTTACTCCTATTTTGTACGGTGTTCTCTATGTAACAAGGCACTGAAATCATAATATTTACCAACCTAAACAAACATTTATGCATTTTATCAAGTTTAAATGGTCATTCTCTAGGAGTAATGGAACTTACATAATCTATTACAGTACAATCTTTTGTATATCACGATCCATTTTCTTTTTCGTTCCTTTCGAGAAATCTATGGTTATGAAAGGCTATCTGCAATTTTATTGCTTTGTTTCTTGCCATTATATTGCCTTATTTTATTTTTGTTTATTAAGCGGACAAATTCATCATTTTAACTTAAATTAACGAGACATTTGGATAGAATAACATGATTTGCAATTAAATGAAAGGACGAAAACGTCTAGTGTTGAAGAAGTGTTGAGAAGAGGTAAGCACCAGTTTGCAATGATTGAAAACAAAAAGTGCAAATTTCCCATAAAAATATGACTAGAATGGTCAATGTAACAGTTCTAATCAGCAATGTGTTTCATCATCACAAATCACGATCGATAGTCGAGAAGAATATAAAGATTACGAGAAATGATCTCCTAAATATTAGTGGCATGACACATCAATTAATTGGTGAATAAGTTTATGATAAGTTGATTTACCATGTCATCGGTGTTTAGTTTATGAGATCATTTCTATAAAAATCACTTCTCAAAGCTTAGTTCTAGGCCATAAAACGGATGCATTTAACTTAGCAAGCTAGATTGTTGATTTAGGGCATGTAACTTGAACATCACGACATTCAAGTCATAAACCACAATGAGCCATTAAATACAGAACATCGAAGTGGTTAATTCTCATAACATATTTCAAGTAAATCTAAGAATATATTCTTTTGGTGTCACAAAGCTTTAGCAACTGAAATAATAATATTCTTCCAATATGCTTTCTAGTGCTAGAGGAAGAAGAAGAAGAATAACAATAAATTGTTTCCCTTGTTTTTAACCACACATCATCCTAAAATTCACTTTTCAAAAAAAAAAAATTTCTACAATAATGATTGTGAAACATTCTCTATATTTCCACTTATCAATCAAAACGCTTTTTAAAAACATTAGCTACTCTAATTTCACATTTCCCAATTTTGCAAGAGACATAAAATTAATAAACAAGCTTCAAGCCCATTTGACATGGTTTTTGCTTCTACCTTTACTTCCTGTAGAAAAGTTTTTGGAAGAAATTATCTTAATTTTTGTTTACAAACTCATTTTTATTCCAGAAGTGCTTTTATAAAAGGTCATATTGGACACCTTTCTCTAAAAATTCTTCTAACTACCAAAAGTATTTTCATAAAATTAGTTAAGCAAGTCCAGAAGCAGCTTTTGTATCTAAAAAGTTCCTTTTAACTTTTTAAAAACCATACCAAACGGGTCCTTCATGTCATATATAGATCCAAAAATTGCAGCGATTCGGGGCGGATCCAAGAAATAAGGACACGTGCTAAAATTTAAGAATGTCTCTTCAATTTATTGTTTAACAGCGTTCTCAAGCATAAATATTGGACAAGTATTAACTAGTTTCCATAGAGTTTTAAGAACAGCCAAACAAGTTTGTTTAAGAGTTTAATTTCAAATTCCAAAGAAAATGGATGCAATTTCACCCATTAATTGACGTTTACCAATAGGTCATCTCAATACAAATAAATAACATACTCACCACGTTCTGTACATCACAATTCATAAAGAAAATGATGCAGCTTCTCTAATTACCTATGTTTGTCCTTAGGTCGTCTTAATACAAATATGAATATTCTACCATTTGAAAATTGGCCCTTCCCCCTCATTCCCAATTCAAAAAATGACAAGACTCCATAGGCACCAAAGGTTCAAAATTCCATATACTGTCCTACCATTTCACTAGTTCACTCATCTCAATGAACCTCCTTCATGCATTTTTCCAATTCACTTATGGATTGATTAAATTTTAATTAATATAAATTAAGCCAAAGTACAGAGATCAAATTGAAATAGAAGGAATACTATCCAAACATGTCATAGTTAGCTTTATCATTCCATACACCAGGAATATAAATCAAAATGATTTTTTGGAAATCATAATTAAAAAATAATCATATACTGGGATTTAATTCGACTGTTATATCAAAAGGACATATAATATAAGAATAACAAAATCAAGTAGAAGTCACATCTTTATGTAGAGACAGTGAGAGTCGACTATGAGAGAGGGGATGAGATGTACTCGGTTGGATTTGGGGAAATTAGATGGGCTTTAACATTTTTTGAATTATGGGCTATTATTAATTTGGGCTTGGCACAATGTTTAAAGAGGAAGTTACATTATTTACCTATATTAATATAATAATAATTCATATAATACACGTTATCTTTTTTTATTCTATTTCTACTGCATATTTCAAAGAAAAAAATGAAACCAAAAAGATGACGTCTCACACATTAATTTCATCTTTATTATTTTGGACAGTCCATTTCACTCCAAAAACTAGAAAAAAAAAAGGAACATAATGAGGAAATCTCGACTTCACAGCCATTACCTCAAAAAACCCCAAATTACAAAGATAAGCTAACATTTCTCGAGTCAAAATCAAATGGGGACGGCGAAAAACCCATTCAATCCGATATTTGTGGGGCCCCGCCCCCGAATGAGGCAAGGATTACCCACTTGACCGAGTACATGGGGCGGGTACGGAACGAGGGTCATTGCCTCCACTACAAGAAATATATACTTTCCCTACAAAAATTCCACAGACAAATTAAAATTTGTGGACAGTTCACTTTTCCCTACAAAAAGACATTTAGTAGGGCCATGATTTGATTCAAATTTTTTAATAGTGAAAGGACTTGTGCCCACAAAAAATTATATTCTTTTCAGACAATAAAATTTGAAGGGTAAGGTATATCTTTAGCGTACGAAAAATTTGATCTGACCTTACCTTTAGCGTACGAAAAATTTGATCTGTTTGTAGGCTAATAAGTGGTGGGAAATTTTTCCAATTTAAAACACACACAATTTTTAAAACACGAAAAACAACCGCTTCTTCCTCTTTTTCCATCACTGTGCGTGAGAGAACTACGGAAGAACTGCCGCCTTCTTCCTCAACAATCGACCACCACCCGCCACCTAGACCACCAGATCCCACTACCATTTGAACCCCCTCACCTTCGTCTTCAACCTCTAGTCATCACCGGGCTACGGAGTTGTCGAAAACAGCCCCAATCACCACCCAAAACCGCCCTACCAATCACGATTTTCGCCATATTTCCACCACCGTCAGCCACCGTTTCGATTGCGGACCGCCACCACTTTCGTGCTCTCAACGAGGCGCATTCAGTACCACCATGGGTCACCTGTAATTTTGTCCAGAATCGAGAGAGCTTGTGAAAGCAGTTCGTGAGTGCTCTAATTTGTGTTTTTTTTTATTTTAATTATTATTATTATTATTGAGTGGTTCATCGTCTGGTCTTGTCCTACAGACCCGTTTAGACCCAAAACTGTAATCTGGGTTTTGAATAAAAATTCATTTAGTGAAAGATCTTTTGATTATCCGATTTAAGGTGAGTTTATCAGAAGCATTTGAACTCTTATTTCATTTTTGTTTTATTATACATTGTAATTATGTAAATTACAGTCTAAAAGAGTAAAGAGTCATCAGTAGAACTAGATTTTTTATCAAAAAAATTACTAACTCTTTGCTGTATCTTTTAGGGTATTAGTTTGTCATTGTACATGTTTAGCATTGATTGCTAGAGTCAATGAATCATTTGAGAAAACATACTTTGTTTCCAAGGAAAAACAGAGATGTTATCTTTTTTGGGAAAAGTTTCAATATTTTGATTTGACAAAAATGGGTTCTAACATGAATATTGGCATACGGTTGGATGGAATTGAACAATATAATTATCATTTTTTTACTATATATATGCCATAATTCTTGTATTGATAATTTTTTAAAGGCAGATTCTTTTTTCTCCCTTATTTTTTTTATTTTCATTTTTAAATTTTTGGCATTTTTCTGTTATTTTCTTGAATTAATAGTGAATCCATTTAAATCTGGACAGAATGAAGAATGGAAGATTACGGAAATTTCTCTACATTCTTGTTTGTATGCTGATTGTGATAAGAACAGAAGGATTTTTAGTTGATATTACTTATGTTCAGAGTGCTGTGGCAAAAGGAGCAGGGAAAACATTAAGGGTCAACATTTAGAGCGAAATTCTAATTTTTTTTTTTACGTGCATATATATATTTTTTTAAAAAAAAGATTCAATATTTATTTTTCTGCATTGTGTTTGCAGTTTGTTTTGACGGTAGTCCACCGGCATATCGTTTTGATAGGGGATCTGGTGTAGGAATTAACAATTGGTTGGTTCATATCGAGGTTAGTCCTTTTTTCATAAGCTATTAAAATATGCATATAGTTTTTTTTTTTATGGCAGCAGAATGGATCATTAAAAGATTATACTTTAGATCATCCTAGGAAATAAGAGTAGTTACTTGATTTTTTTAGGAGAATATAATTCATACAATAGGAAAAGATGTAGTAACTGTGTTTGAAACATAGTAAAAATGATGATGTTGAGATCAACAAACATCACAATGGAATTGATTAAATTATATAGAATAAAACTTATCTTCTTCTTCTTGCATTTTTGGCAATCAAACTGAGTGTTTCACTTTTGATTTTGTCATCCATGTACCAGAGATATATTTGGCCAAATACTTGAACCTGTTGAAATTGAATATTTTAGTACAGAAAGTTAAACTTACTGTTTTTTATTATTTCATATCGCTTTGACCGCTTGAATGGTTTTCATCCGGATTTTTCACAGGTCACGTCCAAGTTATGCATAAAAATAATGAATTTTCATCCTCTATAATAACTTAACAAAATCTGTTAATCTTGGTGTCCAGGAAGGAAGATAGTGCAACAATGTCACTACTTGCCTTGAACGTAAAGACAATCACCTAGGTTCCTCCAAGCAAATGGCTAAGCAGGTTGTATTTTCTGGGATTTTGAGCAACAAGCTAAAGTTCAACCCAGGTATACTTCAAATTTTTTTATTGATTTTGATTGTGTTAAAACTTTTATATTTTTCAGTGTTATCTTTAATAAATATGGTCTCTATTTGAATTTCCAAATTTCTATAATTGGAATAGGATAAATGTTAGATATTGTGATGGAGCATCATTTACTGGATATAGACGCAGTAGATATAATGAAATGGCATCATATAATAAATATGATCCCTTATATTTTCTTTTTCACTTTCTAGAAGTCATTAGATATAATGAAATGGCAGTTTTCAAACATATAGTGAATTTCTTTGTTGTTCGAATATTTATGGAAACTTCTAATTTTTGGGTCAATATTCAATCAGGCTAATAAACTTTACTTCAGAGGAGCAAGAGTTTTTGTTGCTATCATCGAGGATTTGTTAGAAAAATGAATGAAGAATGTTGAAAATGTATGATTTTCTCTTACGTTTTTTCATCCAACTTAGACTGTAATCTTACTTGCTATCGTTAACTTGACTGTTCTTACGTAGGCCATTCTATCTGGATGTTCAGTAAATATTCCATCAGGCTTCTAAACTTTACTTCAGAGGAGCAAGAGTTTTTGTTGCTATCATCGAGGATTTGTTAGAAAAAGGAATGAAGAATGTTGAAAATGTATGATTTTCTCTTACGTTTTTTCATCCAACTTAGACTGTAATCTTACTTGCTATCGTTAACTTGACTGTTCTTACGTAGGCCATTCTATCTGGATGTTCAGCCGGTGGATTAGCATCGATTTTGCATTATTATCTATATTTTGTTATAAAACGTTAAGAAGACTTCCTTCTTATATAAGTTTATTGAAAAACTGCAGCAAGGCATTCCCGGTGAACTAGTCAAGAAATAGTTTGTGGGGCTATGTGTTATCTGTTACTTAATCCGCCTTCACAAGCACCAGAGTGATTTCATTGCTACAAGCTGCATAGCTCAAAAGCAAGCTTGCTAATAATCAGCTCAGAGCCTTGTATTCTTTTATTGTATTTTCTTTGAATCACTAGTCATTTTTTTATTTACTCTTTTACTGGATGCCTGTAAATTGAAAATTACCTAGTTTGGATTTGGATGAACTATAAATTTTGTTATATTTTTAAATAGGGTTTAGCCCACAAAATAATATGTACCATGTTGTAATAAATGTTTTTTTCCCACAAAATTCATTTGTAGGAAAAATACAATTTAGCCTACAATATAATTTGTAGGGAAAAGCGTAATTGTTTTGTGGGTAAAATTAACTTTAACAGATGAATGATTTTGTCAGGGAAAAACTTACACAACGAATTGTGTTTGTCTCCAAAGAGTTTATAGGGAAAAACTTTAGCCTACAAATTTAAAAAATTCGTCGCCTTATACCTTTCCCCTCGATGTTTGCCCCACAAACGTGCCTACAAAAAATTTTTGTATGCAAAGATTTTTTCCTACAAATATGAACCTTTCCCTACAAATTTTATTTGTAGGGAAAGCATAAATTTCTTGTAGTGCTCGAAATGGCTGTGGAAAACATAGTCCTCGCCCTATTTAATGTTAATTTCAATTTAAGCTTTTATCAAACATAAATAATAGATTTATCATTATTTTTAAAGAGAACATAAGTTGTTTTTAACAAATTGGTAGAAAAAATAATAACATTTACTAACTAATAACATAAAAAAAATAAAAGCAAAAAAATAAAAAATAAATGGGGAGATAAATCGAGCAAGGGACCTACCCCGCCCGCCTCGATCCTGCCCTAAACCCGTCCCATTCCGCTTCAACCGGGTATGAGTATAGGGTATGATAACAAAAATACTCAACAGGACGGGGGCGGGAATGGCAGACCCGTCCCATACGCTCCCTGTTGGCATCCCTATCAAAAACCCCAGGTCAATTAATCCAGAAAATCAAGTATCGTTTCACTGACTGCTCACCTTCAATCGCCATACCATGAAATCAAAATAAATTATTTCAAGAAATGGTCGTTTCCATAATATGTTGCTGATAATGAGGTTTAGGGTCGTGAATATAAAAACCATATTGGAGTAGTAGGTCAGCATATCTCGAGTGATGCTAGCTCTTGGGCTTGTGAGATTTCAAACAATAATCTAGTATTTGCAATTGATTCCATTTTTAGGGCCTGTCGATTTATGTAGTCTTTCTAAAAAGCCGTGTGAATTGATTAATTATAATTTTAATAAAAGTTAATAAAATATATAGAAAATTAATAAAATTCATGATGGGAAAATATGTATTTAAAAATTGAAAGTCAAACTCTAAGATCAATTTTTACTTATCAGCACTTACTTCATGCTCGTTCAACTATTCTTTTCACTGCTGCTTGTAAAATATGAGTAGATTACAGCTATCTAAATTTAACTCCGGCATACACTCCTTCCTTAGCTCAACTCAATACACTGTACAAACTAGATAGAGAGAGCCTCATTACTCTTGATTAAGCCTTGTAGCCGTCACCATAGAGGCTGAGACACCACCAAGACGCGTCGCAGGTCCGATTTGTTCCTAACTTCAGCCTTGATTACCCCTTCAGCATCTTAGTCGTTACAAATGCCATGCTACCTCCAACATTGTAATCTATTTTAACCTTGTCCATACTAATATCGATATGCATTTCGATCGATGTCATGTCAACCAGATCATGGTATCTGCTGCTGGTCGGTAATAGAAGACCAAATGATTTTGTATCGCGGGTTAAGATTGTAGGTTAATATCAGATAATTAATCGAGAGGTTATACATACAGATAATTAATATCAGCGAGTGACATCATGAAATAGTGTTGAAGAGTGATTAAGAAATCATATATTCAAATTACTGGCATTGGAAAACCAGTTTTAGTTTTGAATTACCATGCAAATAAATGATTTCCTCATTGGCAGCTCATAAATGCTTTTCAGTTACATAGAGATTATTTTGGAAAGTTGAAATGGTAATTCATATAATGTGAAATGTATAGTATATTTAAAAATTTTAAATTATGTATGATATTATATGAAATACTTTTTATTTCATATGCAAATGCGAATTTTTCCGATGTTTAAAAAGGAGAAGAAAAAACGGAAAAATTCGTATTACAAATAAAGATTTCATATTTTACGAAGTCAATGAATTATAACTAAATATGCTAATATAAATGTAAATTAGATTAAAAAAATACACTTCTAAATATAGATTCTAAAATTGAAATATAGATTGAGACTCTTTGTGGGTACCAGTGTACAGACAACTATTGTTCCTTGACCTGTTGGAGACACATCTCGTGATTAACCTCTCTCACGATCCTTCAAGGGCGGGACGGTGAAAGATCCTTAAGGTTGGGGTTCAACCTTTAAAATTCATTTGTAACTGACATCATATGAATTATGTTGATTTGACGTTCCATATTCAATGACACTTAATCCTCGATTTAACTCTACTCAATTATTTCAGAGATATGCAAAATTCCCATTTCAATCTTCTTCGTTATAGAGACTTCAAACCTAACCTAAGGTTCCCAAGAAATCATCATCCACATCAAAATCCATCATCTACTTACCTCGTTTTCCTTTTATTTCCACAATTTATGTCCGAAAATCCATTCTACAATCTCTAATTTACACATTTTCGGGATTGCTTTCGCATATATGGAACCATAGCAAAGTTAACAACACCGGTAAAAGGCAAATCGACAATGTTGCGGGTGACTCGAGCGCTGAGAAGAAGAAAATGGTGAGACTGCATACATATCAAGCAAGAAAGATAGCAAAATTTTATTCAAAAATTTTCGGAGTCACTAATCTATGGTTTTATTTCTTTGTGTATTATTTTTAATTATTTTTTTAGTACAGTAGAATGATTTGAGTATAAAATATGTTACGCCTCATTTTACGAGCCTCGGTACCGACGTACCGAAGTGTTATCTCGCCACTCCGAAGCCGGTGAAATCAAATAGACCACTCCGACCTCCCGAAACCTCTCCAAAGTGATACACCGATTCCTGTCACTGATCTGCCGAAGTGTCCCGTCTCCGAGGTCGGGTTCAAGTGGCTTGAACCCCCGTTAGAAGATTCGCTGCCAATTTAAGATTTGCTCTGCATATAAGGTTTAAATTGATTTGACGTCCCCCATAAAGCTATTTGATGTGACTTATCAACTTTATGTCAATTCAACTCGGGGGAAACAAACTGTCCGCCCACTCTACAAGCGCGGCTGATTGACGCCTATGAGCAGACGCTTCATACCGTCAGATGTATACACGTGTTCCACATCCCACGGTTCATACCACCTATAAATACCCAAAGATTGGCTAGAGGCAAAGGTAATGAAACTCTCAATAGATAGCACTCCATAACAAGTTTATATATTCTCCTCCCCCTTTATTGACTGATTGATTTGTGTAGTCCCTGGACACTGTTCCGACCACCCAAACCTGACTTGACCGTCGGAGTGTATACGGCCGCCACCCCCATTGGTTCCGGCCGTGTGCGCCTGACAGTTTGTTCATTTCGTAGGGAGGAATACGTGGAGTAGCTACAAGTTGGCCACGTGGAAGAGCCATTTTTAGAGGTCAACAGGATGCCATACACATTGATTGTATTTTTTGATGTTAGGATATCATAGAAGACAAATCAAGTGCTTCGTATAAGGCTGTATCAACATCCAACTGCACTTAAATGAGGAACTCATCTTGAATGCAACCGGGTAACAATCATAAGACTTTGAGCAGAGCATTGATCACCACCTTTTTCAATTTAACTGCACATTGCTTGCCGTTAGCCAAACCGAAGGAATGGCCCAGATAGCTGCAGGCATGAGAGACATAGCAGCTCAGAATATGGCGATGCGGGAACTTCTCATACAAGCTCAGGGACACCAGATGCCCCAAGGATCGTATCCAGTACGGGAAATCCCTTTGTCTCATTCTCGAGGCCACATGAGCCGGCACACCGAACGTCCTCTCGAAAGAGAGGATAACACCGAAACAACATCTTATATGCAGGAGAGCCACCCATCAGAACCACTCTTGGGGGACAACTTTCCACAAGAACATGACCAGAGGTCAGTAAGCGTCTTCGACCGGATAGGGAACGATCCTAGCAATAGGATCCGCCCTTCAAGAGGGTCGGTCCGGTCAGACAACGAAGAAGAGTATGTCCCTCCTCCTAGAAACAGGAAGGAGAGGAGAAACTTAGTCGATTGGGGGAGTCGTGGGAAAGCACCTCCTCCACCCCAAGACGTCCAAGATGACCAAGGATCAGAGGGGCCCTGCCGATCTTATGAGATTGACGACGATGACGATAACCTCCCTTTCTCAAGGGAAATCCGAAGCTTCCCAATGCCAACTAATTTCATGCCCCCAAAGATCCCCAAGTACGAGGGAAAAGGGGATCCGGAGAAGCACCTCATAAAGTATATGACGCAAATGAGTCTTAGGGGAGCCTCACCTGCTCTAAAGTGCAGAGCCTTTCATTTAACACTAGGCGGAGCCGCCGAGGTATGGTACAGCAGGCTTCCTCCCCTAAGCATCAGAAGTTGGCCGGATTTGAAGAAAGCATTTTTGAACCAGTACCTCTCACGCAGGGAAGGAGAGGCGCCGATCCAACGCCTGCAAGACATGAGGCAGGCCCCTGGAGAGACGCTGAAAAGCTATCTCGCCAGGTTTACAGACGAGATTACTTACTGCGAACAGGTCACTGACAGGAAGCCCTTTCGGCCTTGAAAGGTGGTCTCAACATGAACACTTTGTTTTGGAGGGACGTGCGCAGCAAGAATCCCTCCACGTACGACGAGCTGGTGGAGATGATGAGGGTGGAAATAATTAGTGAAGAAATGATTGATTATCGTAACCGTGCCGCGCAGGGACTCCCTCCCCCACAGAGGCAGGTAGGTCGAGGCCCCGCAGCGCACCTTGTTACTCAGCAATGGACCCAAGCAGGGCATACCATAGCTCCCACATCCGGACAGGCCCTAACTTCCGCCACGTTGAACGCAGTGCCGGTATTGGCATATGATAGCGCACCCACTGAGGCAGCACCATCCG